GTTTTAGCATAAAAATTAACAGCCTAACTAACGTTTTGAACAGTTGTGTTGATGGGTCTCTTTTCGTGGATGGTTTCAATATTTCATCATCTCTGGGTATATCCCGTCTTTCTTCAATTTCTATATTGTCCGTCTTGCTCTCATCTCTGGGTATATTCCGTCTTTCTTCACTAACTATATTGTCCGTCTTACTGTCATCTCTGGGTATATCCTGTCTTTCTTCAATTTCTATATTGTCCGTCTTACTGTCATCTCTGGGTATATCCTGTCTTTCTTCAATTTCTATATTGTCCGTCTTGCTCTCATCTCTGGGTATATCCTGTCTTTCTTCAATTTCTATATTGTCCGTCTTGCTCTCATCTCTGGGTATATCCTGTCTTTCTTCAATTTATATTGTCCGTCTTGCTCTCATCTCTGGGTATATCCTGTCTTTCTTCAATTTCTATATTGTCTGTCTTGCTCTCATCTCTGGGTATATCCTGTCTTTCTTCAATTTCTATATTGTCCGTCTTGCTCTCATCTCTGGGTATATCCTGTCTTTCTTCAATTTCTATATTGTCCGTCTTACTCTCATCTCTGGGTATATCCTGTCTTTCTTCAATTTCTATATTGTCCGTCTTGCTCTCATCTCTGGGTATATTCCGTCTTTCTTCACTAACTATATTGTCCGTCTTGCTCTCATCTCTGGGTATATCCTGTCTTTCTTCAATTTCTATATTGTCCGTCTTACTGTCATCTCTGGGTATATCCTGTCTTTCTTCAATTTCTATATTGTCCGTCTTACTTTCTCATCTCATCTCTGGGTATATCCTGTCTTTCTTCAATTTCTATATTGTCCGTCTTGCTCTCATCTCTGGGTATATCCTGTCTTTCTTCAATTTCTATATTGTCCGTCTTACTCATCTCTGGGTCATCTCTTTCTTCAGGGTCCGTATCCTGTCTTTTCTTCAATTTCTATATTGTCCGTCGTCTTGCTCTCATCTCTGGGTATATCCTGTCTTTCTTCAATTTCTATATTGTCCGTCTTATATTGTCTGTCTTGTAATCTCTGGGTGTATCTCTGGGTATATCCTGTCTTTCTTCACTTTCTATATTGTCCGTCTTGCTGTCATCTCTGGGTATATCCTGTCTTTCTTCAATTTCTATATTGTCCGTCTTGCTCTCATCTCTGGGTATATTCCGTCTTTCTTCTCTGGGTATTTCTATATTCAATCCGTCTTACTGTCATCTCTGGGTATATCCTGTCTTTCTTCACTTTCTATATTGTCCGTCTTGCTCTCATCTCTGGGTTATATCCAATCTCTTCAATTTCTTGTCCGTCTTGCTCTTGCTCTCTCTGGGTCCTGTCTTTCTTCAATTTCTATATTGTCCGTCTTGCTCTCATCCTGGGTATATCCCGTCTTTCTTCAATTTCTATATTGTCCGTCTTGCTCTCATCTCTGGGTATATTCCGTCTTTCTTCACTAACTATATTGTCCGTCTTGCTCTCATCTCTGGGTATATCCTGTCTTTCTTCAATTTCTATATTGTCTGTCTTGCTCTCATCTCTGGGTATATTCCGTCTTTCTTCAATTTCTATATTGTCCGTCTTGCTCTCATCTCTGGGTATATCCTGTCTTTCTTCAATTTCTATATTGTCCGTCTTACTCTCATCTCTGGGTATATCCTGTCTTTCTTCAATTTCTATATTGTCCGTCTTGCTCTCATCTCTGGGTATATCCTGTCTTTCTTCAATTTCTATATTGTCTGTCTTGCTCTCATCTCTGGGTATATCCGTCTTTCTTCAATTTCTATATTGTCCGTCTTACTGTCATCTCTGGGTATATCCTGTCTTTCTTCACTAACTATATTTTCCGTCTTGCTCTCATCTCTGGGTATATCCTGTCTTTCTTCAATTTCTATATTGTCCGTCTTACTGTCATCTCTGGGTATATCCTGTCTTTCTTCAATTTCTATATTGTCCGTCTTACTCTCATCTCTGGGTATATCCTGTCTTTCTTCAATTTCTATATTGTCCGTCTTACTCTCATCTCTGGGTATATTCCGTCTTTCTTCAATTTCTATATTGTCCGTCTTGCTCTCATCTCTGGGTATATCCAGTCTTTCTTCAATTTCTATATTGTCCGTCTTGCTCTCATCTCTGGGTATATCCTGTCTTTCTCCACTAACTATATTGTCCGTCTTGCTCTCATCTCTGTGTATATCCTGTCTTTCTTCAATTTCTATATTGTCCGTCTTGCTCTCATCTCTGGGTATATTCCGTCTTTCTTCACTTTCTATATTGTCCGTCTTACTCTCATCTCTGGGTATATTCTGTCTTTCTTCTTTCTAATTTCTATATTGTCTGTCTTGCTCTCATCTCTGGGTATATCCTGTCTTTCTTCAATTTCTATATTGTCTGTCTTGCTCTCATCTCTGGGTATATCCCGTCTTTCTTCAATTTCTATATTGTCTGTCTTGCTCTCATCTCTGGGTATATTCCGTCTTTCTTCAATTTCTATATTGTCCGTCTTACTGTCATCTCTGGGTATATCCTGTCTTTCTTCAATTTCTATATTGTCTGTCTTGCTCTCATCTCTGGGTATATCCTGTCTTTCTTCAATTTCTATATTGTCTGTCTTGCTCTCATCTCTGGGTATATCCTGTCTTTCTTCAATTTCTATATTGTCCGTCTTACTCTCATCTCTGGGTATATCGTGTATTTCTTCAATTTCTATTTTGTCCGCCTTGCTCTCATCTCTGGGTATACCCAGTCTTTCTTCAATTTCTATATTGTCTGTCTTGCTCTCATCTCTCGGTATATCCGTCTTTCTTCACTAACTATATTGTCCGTCTTACTCTCATCTCTGGGTATATCCTGTCTTTCTTCAATTTCTATACGGTATGTCTTGCTGGATTGGCTGTTGCAGACAGTTTGTTTGGTAAACAACAAACAAACACACAAAACAGTGTATGGACTTAACCTAACTTATGTACATCCAGTCCCCAGTTTACCAAATTGATTTTAGCGTAACGGTTTCCGAAATTCCAATACTCTCACTTACAACATCTAACGATAGTCTTCAACAACAACTTTTCTCTTTGGAATGAGGGCCCTTGTTCAATGACGTTCACTACGACCACGTGACTGCTTTCCTATAATTTCCAGATTGCAGTGAGGGGAAGAACTCTGGTCGAACTGGATACAGGATGTCCACAATCCAACCAATCAGATGTCCGCACGCCTTTGAAGCTTTCTGCAGCTTCGAATATGGGGGCACGTACTTCTTGAGGAGGAACCACCCCTTTAGTGACGTCAGCGTCTGTGAAGGAAACATCCTTGAGCCAAACATGGACTGGGACGGTTTCAACTCGACGTTCGGGGACCCCCGATGCGACTATCTCCTTGGTCTTCAACAGCTGTGGTACATCTTACGTCAAGGCGTTTACAACCTGCACGTCTATCTCAAATACTATGAACACCCAACAGACCTGAAGCCCATAATAGCTCGTGTTTATTATTTGCACTTCCGGATAGGCTCTGACTTAGAGGGCTACCCCATCCAGTACAGCTCCTACAAGACTTACAATAATGCAGAGGACGGTCTCATGTTAGGGGCCGACACTCCCACCAAGTTCTGCACTCGTGACCGGGATTGTGGAACTTGTGCTCGGGACAGAGGAGTCGGGTGGTGGTACACGCCTAACTGTACTAACTTTCCCCTGACCGTGAGGAACGGAACAGTTGTATGGCCAATCAACGGAAAGGTCAGGACGCTGAGTTCAGTGTCGATGCTGATCACGCCTCCCAATTACTATTGAGAGAGCAGGGGCGTCGATGTATGATGCCAACAGCAGATTATACACTTGAAAAATATATTGATGTTTTGATTTTTTAATCAATATTACTAGAAGTTATTATTTGAAGTTACCAACTTTGGTATGGTGATGGCAAACCCGGAAACAGAATCGGGATTCGAACTCACGATCGTAAGTTTCTGTCTAAGGGAGGTAACCATGGAACTATGTTCACCAAGGTGAGGTGACCAAACTCATTGCATGTCATGGTACCCCGACTGCGTGGATCGTTTCTCAAAATATCAATCACTGTATTATCTGGTTTAGACTGCGTTTTCTAATAATGTATCAGGTTTCTAACGTTTTCATACGATGCATCTGTTTTTTCACGTTTTATCATCATGTGTCTGTTTTCACACGTTTTCAAATTATGTATCTGTTTTCTCAAGTTTTCATAAAGTTTGTCTGTTTTTTCACGTTTTCTCACCATGTGTCTGTTTTCTGAAGTTTTCTTACCATGTGTCTACGTTTCGCGTTTTCTAACATTGTGTCTGTTTTCTAACATTTTCTAACCATGTGTCTACTTTTCACGATTTTTAGCCATGTATCTGTTTTTATCAGGTTTTCTAACCATGTATCTGTTATGTCACGTTTTAATATCATGTGTCTGTATTTTCACGGTGTATCTGTTTTCTCACTTTTTCTAACAGGGTGTTTCTTTTTCATGCTTTCTAATCATTCGTCTGTTTTCACACGTTTTCTAACATTGTGTCTGTTTTCACACGTTTTCTAACATTGTGTCTGTTTTCTCACGTTTTCTAAGCATGTGCCTTTTTCTCACTTTTTCATAAAGATTGTCTGTTCTCAAGTTTTCTCACCATGTGTCTGTTTTCTCAAATTTTCAAACCCTGTGCCTATTTTTCACGTTTTCAAACCGTGTCTATTTTTCATGCTTTCTGACCATGCATCTGTTTTCTCACTTTTTCTAACCATGCATCTGTTTTCTCACCCTGTATCTGTTTTCTCACGTTTTCTGACCGAATGGCTATTTTCACGTTTTCTAACCATGCGTCTGTGTTTTTCACGTATTCTAACCATGTGCCTGTTTTCTCACTATGTATCTGTTTTCTAACCATGTGCCTTTTTTCTAACCATGCATCTGTTTTCTCACCCTGTATCTGTTTTCTCACGTTTTCTGACCGAATGGCTATTTTCACGTTTTCTAACCATGCGTCTGTGTTTTTCACGTATTCTAACCATGTGCCTGTTTTCTAACCATGCATCTGTTTTCTAACCATGCATCTGTTTTCTCACCATGTATCTGTTTTCTCACGTTTTCTGACCGAATGTCTATTTTCACGTTTTCTAACCATGCGTCTGTGTTTTTCACGTATTCTAACCATGTGCCTGTTTTCTCACTATGTATCTGTTTTCTCCCGTTTTCTAACCATGTGTCGGTTTTTTAACCATGAATCTGTTCTCTCGCGTTTCTAACCATGTGTGTATTTTTCACGTTTTCTAACCATGTGTCTATTTTTCACGTTTTCTAATCATGTATCAGTTTCCTCGCGTCTCCAGCCATGTTTTCACTGGGCTGGAGAGTTTCCTCCATTTTCGAACTCAACATTCTTTGTTTAAGAGTGTCTTGTGACTCCCGTTACCAAATAAAGTGTCTTCATTTTGTTTCCATCTCAAATATAAGCTGATGTCAGAGAGTAATCGGTCTTGATTATCGGAACTGATTCCGGTTTGATATTAAACATTAAGATTGATACTAAACATTCATACAGTGTGTGCTTTCTTTCAACCAATGTTTACTCAGTTTTCCCCAAACCAATCACACAATACCCTTTTTGAAAAGGTTGTTGCTCAACTACTGCAAAAAAAATAAACAAAGACAAAACAAATAAAACTAAACAAATCCCAAAACAAAAATAAAACAATAAACAAGTTCATTCTTTTGTTTTAATTATATACATATAATTTGTATGCTTTAACAAAACAGATTTTTTTAACAAAGATATTAGGATGTTGAAAGCTTAAATAAATATGCTTTGTATCCATAATTTGAACATTTTCTGTAAAACTGTAGCATTAGTTCACAGAACAAGGGAAGATTTTTCTACATTTCTCAGATGAATGGGAACATCATTTTGTCGCAGGCATTATTTTCAGCATATATTTTGTTTATATACCTATCTCCCTGCTCATCTATTATACTCTGAGAGAATCTTCTTCAAACTATCACTCAATATTCACATGATGATCAATCTATAATAAATCACATCCTGCTTATGGACAATTAATCTGCTTGTCTGATATTCCGGTGAGTTGTCCCAAAAATGTAGTTAGCATTGTTATACAAAGAACTAGTATGAAATGATAAGACGGATTCAACACCTGGTGTCCGTCATGCTGATAATCACTTTAGATAAACGCATCACAATCAGTATGACTGACTGAACGTCACCATCAGTATGACTGTACATCACAATCAGTATGACTGACTGTACGTCACCATCAGTATGACTGACTGTACGTCACCATCAGTATGACTGACTGTACATCACCATCAGTATGACAGTACGTCACAATCAGTATGACTGACTGTACATCACCATCAGTATGACTGACTGTACATCACCATCAGTATGACTGACTGTGCGTCACCATCAGTATGACTGACTGTACATCACCATCAGTATGACTGACTGTACGTCACCATCAGTATGACTGACTGTACGTCACCATCAGTATGACTGACTGTACATCACAATCAGTATGACTGTACGTCACCATCAGTATGACTGACTGTACGTCACCATCAGTATGACTGATTGTAATTGACATAACTCTGTATACTACTTCTGCTCATCACACATATACGTTATTTTTAACTGAAACTGATTTGTGCCAGCTGTATTTTTCAACCTGTCCACATACTAGATTTCCATAGAGGAAATAACTAGACATCTGTTCATTGACACAAAGTGATTTACCAGTGCAATAGAAAAACCAAAATCACTAGCCAATGTTTTGGACAAGATTTGTACCCGTAACATATACCACTCACAAGAAGTGAAAGAAGCCCTCATTCTTTCATATTACTTAAGTTGTACTTTGCCTTCACATAAGACTGTATTCTAAGATGCTCGGTGAAAGATCAAAGGCGCAGACAGTACTTTATCAGACGATAATGTACACTTATTGCATGACGTCACACTGTATTGGTGTCAATGCGTCCTTCTAGTCTGCCCCCTTGTAATCGAACGTACCCTTGGTAACCAACGTCACGATGCATGTCAGTTGTCATCGCCTCGTATAGTCTCCTACAGTATACTACTCCGTAGCTTCCCGTTTCTTGGTCTGCAGTTGCATCACTCGGCTAACATCATTGGTGGAAACATTACGTTTATATTTTTCGATGGATATAATACCTAAGTTCAACTCACGCAATGTTTACGTTCCCACAATGAATCCGTGGAATGTCATGTGACTACTCCGCTTCATCTGGATGTACTGATGTAAACTGTTGGTAGTAGAAATGCGACGTTCATATTGCCCCATATGGTTTACGTTAATAACGGATGTTATTAAAATAATTTAGAGAAGATATTTAACCCAAACGTAAACCGTCATCAAACTGTTTATCATTTGTCTTTCTGGTAACGATCGTCTTAACGTAGGAAGGCAGACATGTCAGTTAGAAATTAACAAAGATTGTTAATTTAGGTCACTGACAGTCTCTTTTCTGTTTATTTTCTGCCTTAGATTTATCATCGGTTTATCATTCAGAAAACTGTAGATGCCAAAATATTATAACGTTAAAGCACTCGGACACAAGCGTCCTCGTGCTTTAACTTTTATAGTTCAGGGCGAAAGTGTGCAGTATTACACTATACATGGAAGTAGAGCGAAACTGTATTTCTTAAACAATGTGAAAAATTTGGGTTTTAACTTTTTTTGAGTGGTATATTATCATACGGTTAGAATCTGGTGCAGGATATTGCAATGGTTCAGTTGTAAAGGTTGGCCAATCTGCAGTCATGCTTTATATGGGGTTCTGAGAGCGGAAGTGTGTCTGAAGGTTGTTGGCCTTGCAGCCCTGTTTCATGAAGTGGCGTTGCTTCAACCTCTGCATGTAGCCCAGGTCCTTCACTCGCTGCTGAATCACTGTGCCTGAAACCATCGCAACAGATCTCATCCACACCGTGTCTGGTACACATAAAGACTTAGTGAACATTGTTTTACACAGCTTTTAGCAATATTCCAGCAATATCATGGCAGGGGACACCAGAAATGGGCTTCACACATTGTACCCATGTGGGGAATCAAACCTATGCCTTTAGAGTAACGAGCGCGTGCTTTAACCACTAGGCTACCCCCACCACCCCTGTTACACATAAATATAATACATATAGGTTATTCCAGTCATGTCAACAAAACACATCTGAATAACATCCGGCAGCTGCAGCGTAAGGTTTGATCCTCCAAGAATGTCAGAACTTTCTCGACAGACAAAACGACTGAGATGGGACATTGTTTCCCGTTCAGTGTCTGACATCTCATCTGAAATAACAAGGAACAACACAGTTTTCTTCTCCTATTCATGTCCCTTCAGCGCTTCCGTATATTACACTTCATTGTTTTACAAACGAAATATGTTATTTAAACGGATATTTTGTGCGCGTATGTGGTTTCGTATTTTCAACACCATTCGTGATTATATGAATCAGTGAGTAGATAGATTGATTATTTTGATCCATTTTATGATAAAGTTATGTATAAATTACCATATATAAACAGGGCTCCCTAATATATGAGAGATGGTAAAATAACAACAACTTTATGTTGCTTGCAGTAGAAACCCATAGCATAGCATGCAGTTTTGGAAGTCCCTAATATCAGACGAGTACACTCTTCAAAAAAGAAACAAAAAGAAACGCACAGGTGATTTTAAGAACATTGGTCTCATGTAGCTAGGGCAAAAACAGATATACTATATCTTTCCAAAACGTCATCTG